CACCTCACTTAAAAACGACTTGCTTACAAAATCAGACATAAAAATACAAACATGTCACAACACACTATTACTGAACAATGGCTGACTTTCTCATGTGTACCATATAATTATAAAATAAATCAATTGGAATATAAATATTGTACTTCCATTTCAGTGTATAGTGTGTACAGAGCAGCATAAGCAAGTCATTGTCACTATGAAATTTTGGTTTGTACTGATTTTGCTAGTGCTTTTTCTGTAGCCTGTTGTAAAACTAGGCCAATATCTAGATGAGTTGATGTACCCCCTGGAAGACCTCTGCATACCCCCATCTAACCCCTCCTGGGGGAATGCAGAGGTCTTCCAAGGGGTATCTGTACCCCTGGTTGAGAACCACTGCTCTAATCCAGTAGACCCCACTCCTCCCCCAGAGCTGAGGATAGAACCCAGGGGTCCCAGCTCCCAGCCCTTGCTTGACCTCTTAGATTTTACCCCCCCCCCCCAAGTTTTGGAGGTTTTGTCTGCGTGGGGGTGAGAAGCTTGAATAGGTGACTGGTTTATTGGCAGGTGGGACATTACTAGTTCCTTAGGGGTCACTCTAGTCCATCAATGACTGGTGGGAATGCAATGAGAGTTCGACAGTGGAACAGCCCGAATGGAACCTACTGGGCGTGTTGTGTCACTTCTTACACCAGCTGGCTTGTGCAGTCTCTCCTGAGAGCGGATTCTGCTTCTTCCACGTGCCTCATCACACTCCTGCTGCTACTTTTAATTAGATCCTGAACAACTTGTTCTGCAGGCAGCATCAGCCCAGCTCGACTTCCTTTGAAAGCTTGTAATGGGACCCAGAGGAATTGATTAGAAGGATGCAAACTTGTGCTGGAGACTTTGCAATGGCATGAAACAGAGATAAGGGGCCAGATCCCTAATGAGTGTAAGTCAGACATAACTCCACTGGAGTCAATGGGGTCCAGGCCCCCATGTAGTGTAAATCACCCATGGCTCAATGAGGGTCAATGGGACAGATTCCCAGCTGCATTAAGTTACCCACTCATTCATGCACCAAGGGCTTAGATCTGTCAACCTGGGAATGGCCAGGCCAGATCAGACTGGGGCCCATCCAGCCCAGTTTTCTGTCTTGACAGTGCCTGGTACCAGCAATGGAAACTGCCTCGAGGGAAGTTCCCCTCCCCCATCTGTTAGTGCTGGGTTTATGCTCAGAACCTGGAGCGTTTATGGCCCTTCCAAACTGTAATGCAACGCTGGATATTCTCCTTAGCCATCTTGTTAAGTGAGATGTGTTAAGCAGAGGCAGAGGTCAGAACAGATTAGATGAGCCTTAAGAGACTGCTAAACCAACCCCCTGCAGACAAATGGGGTATTTGAGCCCACCCAGCAGTTTAGACTTTGTGGGTAAAGAGCACCAAGGGCTTTGTTGTTGTAGGTTTGTGGTACAACATAAGCAAAGGGACACAGGGCTAGAGAGACAGCAGCAAGGGAGAAGGTGAGCCAACCAGCCCGCTGAAAGAGGTTGGTGTCAGGAGCAAAGAAGCTTTCCCTGTTTTTTGCTTCTCTCATGTGTCTAGAGAAGCAGGACTGTACACCCCTTGTAAATAAACATGAGTCCATCAGCAAAAATACCAGAGTCCTTTGTCAATTTTTGCTCCCAGCTGGAACACCCCCAGCTCCCCAAAGTTGGACTAGCTGCTATGTCAAAAGGGATAACGATATAAATGTGGCACTGTATGAAGCCCTGCTCACTGGCGCTGGGCAAGACTCGGGATTTCCATGCCATGGGAAAACTGGACATTTTGAAATTTGTTTTCAGTGTGAAATCAGAACGAAGAACAACAAAAGTTCAAGCTTTCCCACTTTCAGGTCAATAAAAATGGTCTGTTTTGATTTCAGTTTTAAACATTGTAGGTTACGATTGATACTATAATGTACAATGAAGTACATTTTGAAATAAAATGAAACATCAAAAGGTTTCATTCTGATAAGGTCAGAATGAAATATTTTGACTTTCTCAAAATGCTTTCTCGCCCCCAGCCTGCCCCTCAAAATTGACACTTTCCCATGAAAAGTTTCAAATTCAACAAAATGTCCTTTTTTGACGGAAAATGTTCAGGTGGAGAATGTTTGACCTGCTGCATTGCGAACTCTCAGTGGTACCATGAGGTATTGAGTTCCTGTAGCTAAATATTTCTTGTGATTACAGGTAGAGACAGGCTAGCACCTGAATATTTTTGCTGAAAAATGCAGATTTGGATTGACCGAAACATTTCACGCATAAGAATAAGAAACATAAGAGTGGCTGTAATGGGTCGGACCAAAGGCCCATCTAGCCCAGTAGCCTGTCTTCAGACAGTGGCCAATGCCAGATGCTTCAGGAGGAATGAACAGAACAGGGCAAATTATTAGGTGATTCATCCTCTGTTGTCCAATCCCAGCATCTGGCAGTCACAGACTTAGCCATTGATGGACCTATCCTCTGTGAACTCCACTATGAACATCCACCATGCATTCATGTCTATTTTGCTGAATTATTTTGATAGGGAAAAATATTCTGAAAAAATAAAAGTTTCATTTTGACATTTTAAAAGTAAAAATGTTTTGATTTGAGATAATTTTTTTGTTTCAAAGTTTACTTTGATTTTATTATTTTTTTTAAAGCTAAAAAAAACAAACAAAAAAATTCAGTTTCAGAGTGAAGGAGACATTTCATTCTACCCAAAGTTATCCCTCCCCTTCCCCCCCTACATAATTTTTTGGAACTGCCAGAGAACCAAAAATAAATTAATTTTGTTAGCTCTGGTAAGCAGCACTCAAGCTTAACCCCCTAACCCCGTCCTCCAATGGGCCAGTTAGCTGGACTATAAGCCACCACTTAACTTGAGCTAGAAATTGGGGAGTGTGTATAGGAGCTGGGTTAGGGGCAATACTCAAGTTACACCATGAGCGATCACGGCGGTGAAGACAATCCCGAAAGATGGCCAGATCACCACCCATCACTGTTTTATCTGGGTGAGAAGAGATAAATATTCATAGAGTCCTAGATACAAAGGCAAGAAGAGACCACTGTGATCATCTAGTCTGGCCTCCTGCATGACACAGGCCAGAGAACTGCCCCAAAAACGATTCCTCGGGACTCAGGGTCATTTGTTTCTGGAATTGACCTGCCTCGCCTGCAGTTTGTGCAGTGCCTGCAGCATGTCCTCGTTCCTCAGGGTGTAGATGATGGGGTTAAGCAGTGGAGTGACAGCCGTGAAGAACACTGACACCACCTTGTCTGCGGCCAGGCTCTTAGCTGGCCTGAGGTAGATGAAGATACAGTGGCCCAGGAAGAGCGTCACCACCGTCAGGTGGGCGGCGCAGGTGGAGAGCGCCTTGCGCCGCCCCTCGGAGAAGTGGTTTCTCAGGGAGACGAGGATAACCGCGTAGGAGACCACCAGCACCACGAAGCAGACCACGGAGATGAGACCTGAGTTGGAGACGATGAGCACCTCAAAGACATAGGTGTCAGCGCAGGCCAGCTTGAGGACCAACGGGACGTCGCAGAAGAAGTTGTCAATGGCATTGGGGCCACAGTATGGGAGGTTTAGGGTCAGCGCAGTCAGGGCCACGGAGTGGACCAGCCCACCCAGCCACATGGCTGCGGCCAGCTTCAGGCAGAACCCGCGGCTCATGATGGTGCCATAGCGCATGGGGTTACAGATGGCTGCGTAGCGGTCGTAGGCCATGATGGTGAGGAGGAAGATCTCGGTGCAGGCGAAGAGGTGGAGGAAGAACATCTGGGCGATGCATTCGCCAAAGGAGATGGTCTTCCTCTCCACTAGGAAGTCAGCCAGCATCTTGGGCATCACCACGGAGGAGTGGCAGACGTCAATGAAAGAGAGGTTGCTGAGGAAAAAGTACATGGGGGTGTGCAGGCCTTGGTCATAGGCGATGGTGAAGACAATGAGCGTGTTCCCCAGCAGGATCAACATGTAGATGACTGTGAAGAAGGCGAACAGGACCAGCTCCAGGGCGTGATTGGTGCTCAGGCCAGAAAGGATGAACTCATTCACCCTGCTCTCATTCCACACCACCATGTTCTGTCTTGGGTTTATTGCCCTTGGAAGAACGGACATGATGGGAGAGGCAGGTGGTTAGTTGTGGGATAGATGTTGCAAGAAGTGATAGCAGTTATTTGGTACCAACATTTTGAAGCCCTGTGCACGAGGAGAGCCAGGAAAAATGTGCAGAATACATGCATGAGGAGAACCATGCAACACCTGGAAAGCTGGTCAAAACTTGGGAATTTCTGTTCCACAGGAAAATTCCAGGGTTTAAAAAAAAAAAGTTCTCATTCTGATTTGGCATAAAAACTTGAAAATTCAAAATTTCCTGCAGAAATGAAATTGTGAAATTTAACATTTCGGAAAAATCAAACTGTTTCTGTTTTACTTTTTTTAAAGATGAAATGGAGCATCTGGCTGCCCTGACTCCCAGGGATTTCTTATGTTGCCCTGACTCCTGGGGTCTCCCGGGGCTCCCCCCCAACTCTGGGAGACTCAAGACTCTGCCCCTGACTCCAGCTTTAAAATCTGTTCAAGAGGAGAGAAGAACAAAATTCCATGCAACAAGAGAGCCCTGCAGAACGCATGCAAAGGAGAGCTATGAAGAATGCATGTGATGGGAAAGCCATGCAAAAATCCATGCCACAAGAGAACTGTTGAAAATACATGCAAGGGAAGAGATGTGCAAAACGCATGCAGTGGGATAGCCGGGCAGAGCGCACGCGGTGGGATAGCCGGGCAGAGCGGTAAATAGATCAAGCTCTGTTCCAGGCCCATTGGGCTGCTTGAGCCGAGTCCCAGTTCTGTCCCTGCTCCCTCACACATGCTCTGGGGGTAGGGACACTCTACAAGGGCATGACAGCATTCGATCCCAGCTTGGTTGGGTCCTGTAGGGGCCTAAATGCTGGCCACCGTCTTGGCTAGCTAACCAGGGCTTGACCTGTGGACCTTCATGGTTAATAGCATGGGCTGCTACACCTTGAGCGAGCCAGGCTTCACTCACTGCTGCTGGCACAGACCCATATCCCCAGCAAATGGGGCTCAGCGGGGGCATAGAAGGCCCCAGCCTACTGCAAATAATAAGGGCTGTTCAAGCATTTCCCTGCGCAAAGAGTTTTAAATGAACAATTCGCTTTTGTTCAGAAAACTTTGTTCAGTTTTTGATTTTTTTAATTTTACAAAAATATTTTTAACACCCTCTCCCCTATTTCCCTCCATTCCCTGCATTTTTCCAATAGGAAAATGTCAAAAGGCAGTAACAGGTGACAGATATTAGTTGTGTCACTTAATGGAGATCTGGAAGAAGTTTGGTTACAATGCCAATGACAGCCAGGTATAACTTGGAGAACAGAAGAGAAAAGAGAAAATTATAATATAAGAGGAAATTAGGAGAGAAGAGAAAACACTGAACTTTTCATTGACAGTGACATTTTTTTCCATTAATTTTTTTATAAAATAAATCAGAAGTGTTTGAACTTTTCCACACAATCCTTTTCCTAGACGTTTAGGCCAGAAGGGACCATTATGATAATCTAACCTAACCTTCTCCATCACACGGACCAGAGAATGTCACCCAATAATTTCTGCATCAAGCCCTTAACCTCTGTTTGAGCTAGAGGGAGTCTATAGGAAAGTCCTCTAGCCTTGATTTACAGACTTCAAGTGATGGAGAATCTACCAAGTCTCTGTGTAGGTTGTTCCACTCACTGTTCAAACTTTGTGCCTCGTATCTAGTCTGATTTTTTGGTAGCTTCAATTGGATCTCATGCCCTTTGCTGCTCAATTTCAGAGCTGTCTGCTGCCAGAAGACTTTTGCACATGTAGGTATATCTATCCAACGTAGACGTGTCCTGAGCATGGAGGGAGCAGAGAGACACGGTTATGAGAGGAAATGGAAGGAGGTGATTCAGGGGCTGTAAGCCAGGAGATAGCAGCTGTCACACACACAGACATGCGCTCCTTCCAGCAGAGGCAGCAGACAGACAGACAGACAGACATTACAGAGAGATAGATGGGGCAGCTTTCTCTCTCTCTCTCATACACATCGGCATTCTGAGCAGGACTCATTCAGTCAGTAGGGGACAGACAGACAGACACACTCTAATCTTCCCTCAAAGAGAGGTGCTAGCATAAACCAAATTTAGTTAAGTTACTTGACTAGGTTACCTGGGGAGGTGTGGAATCCTCAAGTATAATTACGCATGCCAAAAAAGAATTTGAAGAGCAATTAGCAAAAGACAAACTGGCAGCACAATGTTTTTTTAAGTACATCAGAAGCAGGAAGCCTGACAAACAATCAGTGGGGCCACTGGACCATCCAGGTGCTAAAGGAACACTCGAGGAAGACAAGACCATTCCAGGGAAGCTCAGTGAATTCTTTGCATCAGTCTTTACTGCAGAGGATGTGAGGGAGATTCCCACACCTGAACCATTCTTTTTAGGTGACAAAACTGAGGAACTGTCCCAGATTCAGGGTCATTAGAGGACGTTTTGGAACAAACTGATAATTTAAACAGTAATAAATCACTAGGACCAGATGGTATCACCCAACAGTTCTGAAGGGAATCAAATATGAGATTGCAGAACTATTAACAGTGGCATGTAACCTGTTATTTAAATCAGCCTCCATATCAGACGACTGAAGGGTAGCTAATATAATACCAATTTTTTAAAGAGGCTCCAGAGGCATAAGAACGGCCGTACCGGGTCAGACCAAAGGTCCATCCAGCCCAGTATCCTGTCTACTGGCAATGGCCAATGCCAGGTGCCCCAGAGGGAGTGAACCTAAAAGGTAATGATCAAGGGATCTCTCTCCTGTCATCCATCTCCATGGACAGACAAACAGAGGCTAGGGACACCATTCCTTACCCATCGTGGCTAATACCCATTAATGGACTTAACCACCATGAATTTATCCAGTTCTCTTTTAAACGCTGTTATAGTCCTAGCCTTCACAACCTCCTCAGGCAAGGAGTTCCACAAGTTGACTGTGCACCATGTGAAGAAGAATTTCCTTTTATTTGTTTTAATTTAATTTTATCTGCCCATTAATTTCATTTGGTGGCTCCTAGTTCTTGTATTATGGGAATAAGTAAATAACTTTTCCTTATCTACTTTCTCCACATCACTCATGATTTTATAGACCTCTATCATATCCCTCTGTAGTCTCCTCTTTTCCAAGCTGAAAAGTCCTAGCCTCTTTCATCTCTCCTCATATGGGACCAGTTCCAAACCCCTCATCATTTTAGTTGCCCTTCTCTGAACCTTTTCTAGTGCCAGTGTATCTTTTTTGAGATGAGGAGACCACATCTGTACGCAGTAATCAAGATGTGGGCGTACCATGGATTTATATAAGGGCAATAATATATTCTCCATCTTATTCTCTATCCCCTTTTTAATGGTTCCTAACATCCTGTTTGCTTTTTTGACCGCCTCTGCACACTGCGTGGACATCTTCAGAGAACTATCCATGATGACTCCAAGATCTTTTTCCTGATTCGTTGTAGCTAAATTAGCCCCCATCATATTGTATGTATAGTTGGGGTTATTTTTTCCAATGTGCATTACTTTACATTTATCCACTTTAAATTTCATTTGCCATTTTGTTTCCCAATCACTTAGTTTTGTCAGATCTTTTTGAAGTTCTTCACAGTCTGCTTTGGTCTTAACTATCTTGAGCAGTTTAGTATCATCCACAAACTTTGCCACCTCACTTTTTACCCCTTTCTCCAGATCATTTATGAATAAGTTGAATAGGATTAACCACGAGTTACCCCTCTCCATTCTGAGAATTTACTATTTATTCCTACCCTTTGTTCCCTGTCTTTTAACCAGTTCCCAATCCATTTAAATTAATGGAGATATCCTATCTCCTA